GCGCACGCAGCTAAACAAGAGAGCAAACCTGTACAAGAGCTCACTTGAGATGGGCAGGCATGATGATACTCTGGTTGAAGAAATGGCCGTTCTCAAGTTCATGCTCGAAGCCTGTGACGGCCCAGAGCGTCAGGTACAGCACGCCCGAGGTGAGCTATTGCTCGCCAGGGAGAGATTGCAGCGCATCCGAGACCGACGCGAGGCCCTTCGTATGGAGGAAGAAAAGATCATTGAGAACATTGATTTGCTAGACAAAGTGCACAACGGTTGCGAGGTATGCTACACCAGTGGATCCACCGACACTTGACAACAACCCATGCGAAGACAGCCGCGACTATGTCCCACCCGAGCCCCCGCGAGGAGAAGCTGTCTCCCCCTAAAACCACTCCAGGATTCAAGGTGCTCACGACTTCCGACAACCCCACCATGCACAGAGACCTATCTCAAGCCACGGGCACCGTTCACCGCCTCACCCCACACAGCCCATGCACCCCTACAGTCCAGCGAGCGAATTCCAGATTCTTGAATTATATAAATCTATGTCACAAACAAACAGACCGACAAACACGAAGCTATGAATCGGCAGCTTCATTCCGCTGCCCAGGCCCAGGCGACGCTCCAGCAGCAGGTATTCGCGGCACAGATGGGCCAGCAGGTGCACTTCGACAGCAGGGCGGCGACGGCTCAGCAGGCGGAGGCGGCCCAGTCGGCGGTGGCTGCACAGATCGCCGCTGCCCAGGAGGCGGCTGCACAGGCAGCTTCGAAGGCCAAGGCCCCTCCTTCGGCCGTGCCGACGGTGACCTTCCCTCCGCCACCGCCGATGCCTCTGCCCGTCGAAGACGCGGTCATGGGGTTTACCGCAGCCCAGGACACAGCCTCGTTGAAGGCGGGTCCTGGGCCTCAAGGGATTTGGATGCAGCAGACGGTAGCAGCAATGGCAGCGGCGGCAGCACAACACCCCATAACTCACGCCAAAACCGCCCGATCACTGCACGGCCACTGACAACGCCCATAACGTACCATGCACCAGCGGCAACCCCATCCCCGTCGTAAGCCGCCGCCCAACCCAGCCACCCGCAGCAAGCATCCCCCATTCCACATTGCTAATACGCCCTCCCCCGCCCCCTCCTTGCCCCAAGGTCACCAGCGCCAAAGAGGGACCGACAGTCCCCACGAAACCAAAGGTGTACTTCCAACAGACCAAGAACCTGGTCCGACCTCCGAAAGACACTTATGAAGCCAAAGGCCCAGATCTACCGCCTCGACACCTCGCCCCCACACAGCAACATGAGCCCATACCATCAGCCAAGCAAGCAGCCCACCCACCCATGTGCGCCCAGAACTCAGTGCTGCGCCGATGACGGGTGGCATATCGTGCCCCGCGGCCGCAAGCGGCGATGCATTTGCGGCAGAGCTGCCCAGCCAGGAGGCGGAGGAGGTGCCAGCACCCCACCTGGACCCCATATCGCCTACGCAGCCGATGGCATCTCAGGAGGAGCATATTCCAGGCCCGCATCACCTGCTGAACCAGTACCAGGCGATGATCCAGATCGACACCTCGCCGCCTCCCACGCAGCCGTCACCGACATCGCCTTTGGCCACCCAGCAGATGCAAGGACTGGCCCCCCCGCCGTCCTTCGCGGGAGCCTTTGGCGCGCGCCTCGGTGGCAGCGAGGCTCAGGCGACCAGCAAAGCGGAGGCCTCCGTCATCGACAGAGGAGCTGCAGGCAGCATGCCGCCCCCCCCGCCGAGGGAGGTACCCACCAGCCCGAGGCCGCCGCCGCCACCAAAGAAAGCGCCGAGGCCACGCTCTGTAGAGCCAAAGACCGAGAACGAGGTCAGGAGGACCGAGGACGGCCACTCGCCGCCTCACAAGTACCAGTGCCTGCCCCACGACCAGGACCAAGAGCAGGAGCCCCTGACCAGCGACCACCAGGGAAACGACGGGTACATCTGAGCCCGCTCGTACAGGTGCGTAGTTTTGACCCAGCCTCACCAGCGCCCCTCCCGCCGCCGGGGAGCAAGGCGGCCGGACCATGGGTGCCCAGGCCGATACTTAAGCATGTAATTTGCGCGCTGCCCATGCAGCATCATGGCGCCAGCGCACTCTCAACTGTGAATGTGGAATTTCGGAGGCAGGCACTGAGAGGCTCAACTGGGAATGAGCCCGCCGAATGCTCAGCCGTCTCCGTCGACCCCGTCGCCTCCAGTGTTAGTTCCGCCAACGTGGGCAGAAACATCCTCAACGACGGATACGGCAGCTACGTTCATGGCAAATTGGTCTTCGACGAAGCTCGTCGACCGCTACGTCAATCTGATGACAATGGGAGTGGTCTGTCAATCTCACCTGGTGGCTTATATTCCAATATACAGGTGAGCAGCGACAACTCGTCGTTTTCACAGCAGGACGCCTGGGCACAAATTGCTGCGTTGCCTGCTTCCCTCTCCAGCCAAGGGTCTGTGCTGGCAGAAGGGTGTCATGTTTCACGAATGCATGAGATTGCGGCTCCCAGGGTACGGGAGCCGCCGATCTCCTCCTCTCTTCGTCGGCGCTTAAAGGGAAAGCAGCCACCAATACCACCGCCCTTGGAGCCCCCGAGGCTCCCATGGGACCAGAGTGCGAAACAAATCATTGCTTTAGATTTGGCGGTGCCATCAGGTGTACCAGTCTCTGATCAGGACGTTTCCGACTCCTTCCAGGTGTCTCCTCAGGACTCGAGCTCGACATGTTTTGGGATTCAACATGCTGATCGACTTAGCACTGTCTTGGAGGCATCCAGGAATTGGTTCACACCCAGGAAGTGTACTAAAGGTATCAGGTTACACCCGATGGCAACATTTGCAGTCAGCGTGGCCAAGCCGTCGGTACAGCAGGTCACCAAGCTTTTCCTGTATTGCGACGCCTCTTTTCGAGGCAACGTTTTCGACAGTGCCTGGGCGTTCGTTGCCACAGCAGTTGACGTGAGCGGCGACGTTTGCTACCTGGGCTTTGAAAAAATGTCGGCAGTGCGTTCTACCCACCTCACTTTTCCTGAAGACGAGGTCACCAGTACGACGATCGAATTGATGGGTATTCTGTGGTCAGCTTTATGGTTCCTAGCTTACTACGGGCCCCAGCTGGAGGCCTCATCAACTGTGCTACCTATCTTGGGAATTTTCTGCGATAGTGAGTCGGCGGTTGGGATTGCTCTAGGTCAAGTAGTCCCTCACTCTAACGTCTCGCTTGCCAACCTCACCTACGTCGTTTACCAGTGGGCTCGTCGTAGGTACGGGGTGCTGCTTTGGCATATCAAAGGTCACTCGCAGAACCCCTGGAATGAGTTCGCCGACTCGGTTGCTAAGGATGTTGAGGTTGTCGGTTCTGAACCTCCAGAGGCCCTTCAGCAAGCACTATATTTTGATCGCGCACTCGATTGGTTGTGGTTATCGCAAGCCCCGCACGAGGATTGTATCGAATACCCGATCGACATCGACAAAAATTGGATTCGAGGCACTCGGCCACAATGTATCGAACAACCCTTCGGCATGACACCGTCGGACATAGTTCCTAAGCATACTGTATGTCTTTCATTGCGCGTTGCCACATACAATGCACAATCTGCACGTGATGCGGAAGCCACGCGTGCACGACAGATGAAAGTTGCAGGTGAGAACATACGTCAGCAGTTTCGGGACGCGAACATCATCTTGGCAGGAGTTCAGGAATGCAGAAACCCTGAGGGAGTTCGGGAGTCCATGGGCTATATCATCTTCTCTTCGGGATGCTCTGGCGACAAGAACCTCGGGGTTGAGCTTTGGGTTTCCAGGGAGCTCCAGTACGGCACCAAGTCTGACGTCCCACTTCAGTTTGAGCGTAGGCACTTCACGCCAGTGTATCAGACGCCGAGACACCTCATAGTTAACTGCCAAGCGCCATCGTTCTCTTGCATGATCATGGTTGCTCACGCTCTGCACAACGGAGCGGAATATTCTGACAACCAGCGTGCTGCGTGGTGGCACCAACTTCGTTTAGCCACACTGAAGTTCGATGTGCAGTTGCTTCTTTTGGATGCCAATGCTCGTGTTGGGGAGATCACCTCTTGTGCGATTGGCGACTTTGGGTTTCGACAGCCTGAAGATGCATCAGGCACCCTATTCCATGACTACCTTTTGAGTACAGGTAGATTTGCGGTGAATACGCTGTTCCCCACCAGCTCAGACGGGGTTACTTGGCTGGCCCCCTCTAACAAGGCGCCCCACAGGCTCGACTACGTCGTCGTCGCTAGCGAGCTTATCGACACCGTCGTGGAGAATTACACTATCGTAGACATAGATACGAATGCAGAAGCAGCAGATCACAGGCCAGTCGTCGTCCTTCTTAAGTCGTCGTCTCAAGCTAGAAGGTCTCAGGTCAGACTCCAGTACGACTCTAAGGCCCTGAAGGACCCCCACAAGGTCGCCATGTACAAGGCCCTCCTGAGGCAGTACCCTCCGATCCCCTCCGACCTGGACCCCAACAGGCACCTGGACATCCTGGTCTATCGTTTCTTGGAGGCTGCTTCAAAGGCTTTTCCACTGGGTCCCAAGGTCACGTAGGGAGATGCGCGGGAGCCGCAACAAGCCCCAGGAACCATTGGGTCAAGACATTCGCAAGCACTTCGACCTGGCATACGATTGCACTCCACCCATCAGAAGCTGTCGTGTGCTACTAAATGCAAGGCCTTCCTACCCAAGCTGACTTGTGGGAGTATTACCCGTGAGGTGGAAACAGATTCCCACAAAAAGATGAACCTTATCATCTCATGAAGTTGAGATGCAGCTCGTCCTTCAATGGATATGTCCAAAAAAAGTGGTGCTCTCGATCTCACTCGAAGTCAAAGACATCTTCTCGAACGAGCCCGACGAGCTGCTATTCACCATCATCTAGGATCGCTAAAATGGACATGATGCATGCACTACAAAAGTTTGGAGGTAAGAAACGCAAGTCTGCAGCTGCTGGTCTCCCGATTCGCTTCGACAAGGCCGGAGAGCTCATAACCACTAAGGGTCACCTTTCATCTGCTTTAACAGTACATTTTGCTGAGATTGAGAAGGGAATATTGCTCTCGTGGGATGAGTTACGTGCAAGATACAACAACGAGCAGCTCGACATGCTCGAGCATGCTTCGTTCAACACCGAGATGCTGCAGACTCACCGCGAGCTCCTATACGCGATTAAAACAAGTTGTGCAAAAAAGGCTGTGGGCCCAGATGGTGTGTCCTTCGACCTTCTGAAGGCTGCAGCACAAGAGTCTACGGATCTGATATTGCCACTTATTACGAAAGTGGGAGTTTCTGGCCGCGAGCCCCTGGGCTTCAAGGGCGGCTGGCAAGTGGATTTGTTCAAGTCTGGGGCTGTGGGCCCCATCGGGAACTATCGTGGTATCATGCTTGGGGTCCACATTGCCAAATTACACCATAAATTTCTACGCTCGAAGTTAGTGCAAGCCACTGAGATGCTTTTGAACGAGTTTCAGATGGGTGGCCTGGCCAGCAAGGGCACGGATATGGCGCTTCTGCAGGTCTTGACGATGGCACAAGTGGCATCATCTCGCAAGAAGACATTATTATTGCTTTTCACTGATTTGCGTGCTGCATTTTATTCTGTTATCAATGGTATCTTATCTCGGTTTGCTCAGACATCAGAATCCATCGAAGGCATGTTTGAAGAACTTGGTGTCCCACTGGCTTTCGTTCCTTTGTGTGATAAAATTGTACAACAGCCAGGCCTTCTGGACCAACTCCCAGATCGACATCTACTAACATCTGTGGTGGACACAATGAAGTCCACATGGTTTCAAGTAAAAGGAGCCGATCAAGTGGTGCAGCCTGGTGGTGGGACCAGACCAGGCATGCCTTTGGCCGATTACTTATTCAATATTGACTTCTCCCCGATCCAGGTGAACATCAACAAGCGTCTTGCTTCCCTGGCCAGGCTCCAGCACACCACCCCGAAGGCACCCCAGCAAAGGATCTTCGTGGACCCCGAGTCGCCCCAGGTCGAGAAGGACGTGTGGGGCCCCGCATATGTAGATGACTTGGTTTCCCTAGTTGAGCTCGAATGGGCCACCAGCTGGAAAGCGGTTGCCCAAGAAATGGCTACCATTGTGCACGAAGAAACGATCTCCAGAGGTTTCCAGGTGAACTACAAGAAGGGAAAATCAGAGCTCATGGCAATGTTTGTGGGAAAAGGGACCCGCAAGGCACGGCAGGATTTTGCTGAGGTTGCCCCTCAAGGCCTACACATCCCTCGTCTTGGTGTCAGGTTGGCCCTCACGCTGAAGTACAAATACCTAGGATCGTACATCGACTCCAAGCTCTGTATGGGCCCCGAGGTCTCCCACAGGTGCCACCAAATGCAGCAGGCTCTGGGTGTTCTGAGGCGCACGGTCTTCGCTAGCCGTAGGCTTCTGCTTTCTCACAAACTTACGTATATACATAAGCTTTGCACACCTCACCTTCTGTACAATGCGTCTGTGTGGCCACAACTTTTGAACAAGCAAGCCTCTATGTTAGAGAATCGGTATTTGCTCCCTTTTCGTGAAGCCTCTGGCCTCAAATTTGACGGCCTACCTCGTAACAATGTTGCTGGACATAGGCTCTTAAGTGCGGTTAACCAGGCCCCACTTGAGATCACACTTCGTTTGCGTAGGTTGAGGCTCATTCCTCGGCTACTCCAGGCGGCGCCAGTTGCCCTCTTGTCGCTTCTTGACGAGGCGGCGGTCGTCAATTCCTCATGGACCAGCCTGGTCTGCCAGGACCTTGAATGGTTGAGTACGCATGTGCAGTTGCCACGTGTGTTGCTCCCCAGCGGTCCTCCCTCGTGGTGGGTGCATCTCATTCGCACGAAGGGAGTTCGTTTTTGGAAGCGTCTTTGCAAGCAGGCAGAACGTGCTGCACAAGCCTGCAGTATTGACAAGTTGCGATTAGCTGAATGGCACGATGCACTTCGCGACAATGCGATCAGTCTTGGTACGGAGTGTCCTCCCTTTCTTGTGCCTCCTCCTCCGCTGTTTGTATTTCCGTGCCAAGACTGCGACGCAGTGCTCAATACGCGTGCATCTTGGGCCTCACATCGTACAAAGGCCCATCCCGAGCTAGACCCAGCAGGCCGGCTTGCATCAGGCACTCAATGTCAATCCTGTTGCTTGAACTTTCACACTAGGCTGAGGCTCTTGAAACATCTCAGGCACGGTAGACAGTCATGCCTGGCCAACTGGCTCGCAGTGCTCCCAGCTCTGCCCCCCGATCAAGTTACGAAAGAGCGATTGAATGATGCTGATGTTTCCCGAGAGTTGCGCAGGCAGGGATATTATGAGGAGAAGGCCACTACCCCGCCGTCTCGTTTTCCTGGTCCTGGTTTGTCTGGTGCCGCTGTCTCCCTGGGCCTCCCTGGTTCCGTGGGCCGTGTTGGGTGCCGCCCCGTGCCCCTGGAGGTGAACGTGGCTTCTCTCCCCCCCCCTTCGCCTGCTGCACCTCGTGTTGTGCACACGGCATACATTCTGCATGTGTCTTCGTCTGCTCGCACACTGCACGATGTACAATGGTGGTGTGAGGAGTTCTTTGCCACGCATGGCTTGTCATTGTGTGTTCTACAGATTAATCAGGAGGCCGTCGCCACCAGTAAGCAGCGTGATCAGATCATACATTTGTTAGCGTCCAGGACCGTGCTCGGTGTAATTGCAGCCCCAGGTGTGGAGACGTGGTGTGAGAGGCTTGACCGCGCTAGGCCCTTCCGTGCTGTTGTTCACCCTTGGGGATCCCCCGACCTCGCTCCTAAAGACTGGGCGCGGGTGCAGGACGAAAATTGCCACCTGCGCTTTGCGATTTCGGTTTCTGTCGTCGCGCGTGCTATGCAGATCCCATGCGTTTTGGTGCACATGAATCAGCAGGTCACCCCGCACCTACCGTCCCCCTGGGAGTTGCCTGAGCTCGCCTGGACTCTCGGTCTCTCTGAAGTGTGTGATTTCGTCCTCAGCATGCCCAGGAGCACGGTGCCAATGAGGATTGTTTCGTCTAGGTCCCTCTTTCTCAGTGATAACTTAAGGGCAGGCTTCGACTGCATGGACGGATTCATGGCCTCCTCCGTCCAGTGGCCGTCCGCCATGTGCCGTGTTGTTGCTGAATGCTTGTGTGGTATTGTTGCTCGTTCGGCCCCTACGTGTCCGATCGGCCAGTTCACACCGCCCGAGTCTGGCTGCGCTCCCATGTACATGCCTATGGACCCCTATGTGGGTTAGTCGGGAGCGCCGCCGGCGGCGGCGAGGAGGCCCCCCCCCCGCGCCCTTCTTTCCTTTGCCCCTCTCTTTTCCTTTCTCTGCATGCATGTAGCACTGTTGTGGACACCACGGACTCATGGTCTCTCAGGGGAGTGCGCAGGAGGAGGAGGAGGAGCAGGAGGGGGAGGGTGAGGAGCAGGAGGAGGAGGAGGAGGACGAGGAGGAGGAGGACGAGGAGGAGGAGGACGAGGAGGAGAAAAAAGGGCTTTCCCCCCGCCGCGCCGCAGCCGCAAAGCACCGGCCACGGACCGCAGCAGGCCATTCCCCCGCCACCTGCCAAACCCGAGCGCGCCCGCTCGGTGGCGGCCCCGCGTGGGGAGAGCGCACGGCGGGCCCGCGCGTGCGGCGGCTGCCCCCCGGACCTCCGACGCCGTGGGCGCCGCTCACGGCGCGGCCCCCCGGAGGATCGGGGGCGGCCAAGAGGATATCATAGCGGGAGACATGATATTCCCCCCATATTTCAGTACGTCCCCCCCATATTTCGGTACGTCCCCGGCCCCCCCCGTAGGCCACGCACACGTCGCCGGCCATGATCTGCGCCCCCCCTCTTGGACGCCCCCCTCTTGGCCGCCCCCGAGATGAGGGGCTCCATGGGCGGGGGCCCCTGCAATCGGAGGTCAGCCAAAGCGCCAGCTCCTGCAGGATCCTGCAGAGGGCCTGAGGGGTGCATTGGCCCGGGCTGGGGTGCAGGATCCTGCAGGATCATGCAGGGTCCTGCAAAACCCGACTGACCCAGGTTTGGATTGACCCGGGTCAGTAGATCCCCGACAGGGGACAGGTTGCGTCCCCGTCGGTGGAAGAGGTTGTCCAGGTGCCTGCGGCATGTCCCGCCACCGTGGCTGGCTGCTGGGCAGAGGAGGCCGTCGCGCGTGCCACGCCTTTCCGTGAGCGCACTTCGAGGAGCATTGATGGAGTTTATTTCAGCCCGCTTGGGGCTGTTCTGGGCGAGTCTGGAATCCACCCTCCCCTGGGAGGCCCACACCTCGGACGTCGCATTTTGTTTCGCAGCGTGGCTCCCCCGACGTCTGGGGTTCAGCCGCCCTGCCTGGGAGGCCCTGAGCCTTCGAAAAGTGGCTCCCAAGAGGTATGGGCCCCTCCCCGGGGACCGGCTTTCCATCCGAGTCGTTCTTCGACCGGCCCAGCGAGGTCCCCCAGAGGCCGAAAATTGCCAAAGACCTCACGGCGAAGAGGTCGGAGGGCGAGCGTCGCCAGTGACAGAACTGCTTGCTGTATTCTCCCTTGTTGCACCCGTGCGCGGCGTTCCCTGCCCGCCTGGCGCCGCTCGCGCTGGAGTGTCCTGGGCGTCCAAGAGGGGGAAGATGATCAGGGTGGGTGGACATCATGGCCTGGGCCTGGTATCTCTCAAGATGTCGTGGCCCCCTCTTCTTCCTTCAGCGCTTCCCCTGGCCTCGCCCTCGCCCACGCACGCGCCTTGGGCCATGATTTGCTACCGTCCTTCCACGCCCCCGCTTTCGTCGCCGCCCCCGTTCGGCGTCGGAGGGACGGTGGGCGCGCGCGCCGCAGACTGAGGAGGAGGAGGAGGAGGAGGAGGAGGAGGAGGAGGAGGAGGAGGAGGAGGAGAGGAGAGAGGAGGAGGAGGAAGAGGGTGAGAGGAGGGAGAGAGGAGGAGTAGCAGGTGGAGGAGGAGGAGGAGGAGGAGATAGGAGGAGTGAGAGGAGTACAAGGACAGGGACAAAAAAAAACAAAAGAACACGGGGCACGGGGGAGGATGGAGGAGAAGGAGAGAGGAGGAGGAGGAGGAGGAGACGAGGACAGGGAGGTGGGGGTAGAAGTGGAAGAGAAGGGGAGAGAAGGGGGCGGAAGGGGAGGGGGGATGAGGAGGTAGCGGAGACGGCGGAGGAGGGGGAGAAGGAGCAGGAGGAGGAGGAGGAGGAGTAAAAGGAGGAGGAGGAGTAAAAGGAGGAGGAGGAGGAGGAGGAGCAGGAGCAGGAGGAGGAGCAGGAGCAGGTGCAGGAGCAGGAGGAGCAGGTGCAGGAGCAGGAGCAGGGGCCGGAGCAGGAGCAGGAGGGCGCGCTAGGGATGGCAACGGCGGCACAGGCTGCTGGTGCTGCTACCTCGGGCCCTTCAGCATGGACTGATTGATGGGCCGGGCGCGCGGGCCCGCGACAGGCCACGGTTTTTGACAACTGTGAGCGCTCGGCGTTCATGAGGCTCTGGATTTCAGTTTTCGTACCGATGGGAAAAACTGAACCAGAGGTGCGAAAAGTAATGGCAATGACGCGTTCCAAGATGTCCAGGTTCTCTTGTTCTCCCGCGCAGCCAGAGGCGAATAGCCCAGTGCCGAGTGCGAGTGACCGCGGGCCGCTAGAACCTCTGGGACTCCCAGGACGTATCCCGAGCCACTCGCACCATGGCATTACTGCGAAGGCCTCACGGCTGGTATCGCCGACCCTGAAGGGAGACCACGACGTCGGCGACGGCGGCGACGACGACGCTGACGTTCGCCAGTGTACTCAGGGATGCGTCTTGGGGTAACCCTGAGCTCCCGATAGTACCCCCCTGGGGATAATAAAGTTCGGGGTCCAGCCGGGATTAAAAACGTTGTCGCGTAGATCTCAGCAGAATGATGAAGATGATGACGATGTTGATAATCAAGATGGTCTTGAACATTCATAACTTAGTCAACAAATCCATAGGAGTCCTTCGGGCATCCATAAGGATCCGATGGAAATCCATAGGACTCTTTAGGATATCCATCGGGTTCCTTAGGAAATCCATAGAAATTCTATGGAAGCCCATCGGAGTCTTTGGGATATCCATGGGAATCCTGAGGAAGTCGATAGGGATCTTCAGGAAATCCATAGAATATAATGGACATCCATAGCGTTCCTTAGGATATCCCTAAGAATCCTATAGACATCGATTAGATATTCTAGGTATTCCATAGGGTTTTTTCAGATATCCATCGGATTCCTTAGGACATCCATCGGATTTGTTTGGACATCCATAGGGTCCCTTCGGAAGTCCACAAGGACCCCATGGCAATCCTTAGGATGTCTTAAGATACCCATCGGAGTCCGAAGGAAATATATCGGATTCTTGTAGC